TGAGCTTTGGACTTTTTTAACAACACAATTTCACACTAGATTGCAGGAGCAGCGAGTGTTGACATCTGCAGATACAGAGGTGGTCATTTTCAGATCCACTCAGCTGTAGAACTCAACGCCTCTTTCAAGGATGAGTTGTGCTTTTCTTTAGCCGTGTGTCAGATGGAGTGAATGGATTTCAGAATGGAAGAATCACACTGTCTGATACATGATTTCGCTGTCAAACGCTGTCCAGTTTTGCGAGCATATGCTTTTTAACGTTTAAACGAGGCAAGAAATGCCAGGACCTTTGAAGTTTATTTGGAAGATAATGAGTTTGCATTCAGTTATTTTAATGCGTTATTCTTGTATCAAATGTGCCTGGTTAATGCCTGCTTTAAACTACGGACATTAATGTATTTCTCTTTGGGCTGTCAATTTAATGTTGTAATTTAGAGCAATTGAAAACAATCTGATACATTATCATTCAAAAGTTTGGTCTCAGTCATTTTTGAAAGAAGTCTCTAAGGCTCATGAAGGCTGCATTTATTTGATTAAAAATAGATTAAAAACAGAATACAGTTTAAAATAACTTTTTTATTTAAACATTTTTAAATTTATTCCTGTGATGGCAAATCAGAATTTGTATCCACATCATTCCTCCAGTCTTCACATGACCCTTCTAATGCTGATCCGGTGCTCAAAAAACATTTCTAATTATACATTTTGAACATAGTTGTGTTGCCTAATATTTTTTGTGGAAACCATGATAAAAAAAAATCAGGATACTTTGATAAATAGAAAATTCAAAAGAACAGCAGTGATTTGAAATAGATTTTTTTCTAACAATGTAAAAATCTTTTGATCAATTGAATACGTCCTTACTGAATAAAAGTATTCATTTCTCTTATAAAAGTATATATAACTCTTACTGACCCCAAACTTTTAAACAGTTATTAATATTAATGAAAATTCTAACAATTAATTATGCCACCTGACCAAACATAAAAAGAAAGAATTATTTGTAAATTAAACAACATATCAACTTTTTGTGATGTCTATACTATAATGACTAAACTATTATTTGGGAGCAATTGTAAGTAATTGAGATTAATTTGATTCAGCATATCATAATTATATTTAATTACATTTAAATTGACAGGCCTAAAATCCATATAGCAGTATATTTTATTATTGTGAGCCTGGTTTTGAGCTGGTTTGTAAACAGTGTTACACAGAGATGTTGAGTCAGCTCTTGTCATCTCTCCCTTGTGGCTTTCCCAGCTCGTGTTGCTCGGTTTGTCAGTGTTGCTGACAGGAACGGCACTGCTTTGCAAGGACTCCATCAAGATGCAAAGAGAGCAGTGGTGTCTTGTCTTAAGGCAGCAGATAGAGGAGGAGAGGCATGTTGTGCTTGGTTTGGCCAGAAGTCATGATGCTAACATGAGTGCGTCACACTTCAGCTCATCTCTTCTTCACCATCTCTCACTTTCCCTTCTCATTTACATGTTATGTTGCTTCCCCAAACTTCAACCACTTTTCCGATCTAAGTAAGATTTTTTTTAATTTTTTACGTTGCATGCATGAGTGTCAGTATGTTGATGTTACATCAAAAATGCATTTCACTGATATAAATATGTTGTACAAGTCAATATAATGTCTAGTAGTGCTGTCTAATCGAATCTAAAAAAATGTTTTGTTTAAAGAACATAGGTGTGTGTGTGTATATATATATATATATATAAATATATACACTATATATATTTTTATGTATACACACCCATATAAATATGTGTGTGTGTGTATATATACTATATATATATATATATATATATATATATATAGTATATACAGCTCTGAAAATAATTAAGAGACCACTGCAAAATTATCAGTTTCTCTGGTTTACTACTTATAGATATGCGATTGGGTAAAATTAACATTTTTGTTTTATTCTATAAACTACTGACAACATTTCTCCCCAATTCCAAATAAAAATATTGTCATTTAGAGCATTTATTTGCAGAAAACAACAACTGGTCAAAATAACAAAAAAGATGCAGCGTTGTCAGACCTCGAATAATGGATAGAAAAAAAGTTAATGTACATTTTTAAACAACACAATACTAATGTTTTAATTCAGAAAGAGTTCAGAAATCAATAGTTGGTGGAATAACCCTGTATTTCAATCACAGCTTTCATGCGTCTTGGCATGCTCTCCACCAGTCTTTCACATGTATGTTGCGTGACTTTATGCCACTCCTGGTGCAAAAATTCAAGCAGCTCTGCTTTGTTTGATGACTTGTGACTCTCCATCTTCCTCTTGATCACATTCCAGAGGTTTTCAATGGGGTTCAGGTCTGGAGATTGGGCTGGCCATGGCTGGAAAAACCAATCCTCATTGTTGGGGAACATTGTCAGAGCTGAAGGAAGCAAGTTTTCTTCCAGGACAACCTTGTACGTGACTTGATTCATGCGTCCTTCACAAAGACAATCTGCCCGATTGGAGCCTTGCTGAAGCACCCCCAGATCAAGAGGTGAACTATTGTTCAAAAGTTTAAGGTCATTCGTTTATTTTTTGAAAGAAATTAATACTTTTATTCAGTATAAAGTCTGAGGACGAATCCTTTTTCAATATGGATGATCATGTGACACTGAAGACTGGAATAATGCTGAAAATACAGCTTTGACTTCACAGGAATTACATTTTAAATATATGAATAATATATAGACAACTGTTATTTCAAATTGTAATATCTTTTTACTGTATTTTTGATCAAATAAATGCAACTTTGGTGAGCACAAGTGTGCATAAAAAGCATTAGGGAAAAGGTGAAGTTATATTTTAGTTAGAGATTACGAAGATAAACTGTTTTCTTTGGAATAGTGTGCACTGATGAATTGTTCATAGTATTAACATGTATTTTAGTGCTGTATGCCTATGGTGTACATCTAGTCATAAACTGTGATTCATTATAATTTAAATATTAGAGGTTTGCTGTCATTGTGTTTCTGAATATCCACTGCCTTCCCTATAATCGCACAAAACCTTTTGCACTTAATATTTTCCCAAAGTTTTTGCTATGCTTACATGTCAGTCACGTTGTGTATTCGGTTTCAATTTGGAGCTTATTCATACGAAACAATATCTGATGTTTACATCCTATTAAAGCATTTATTATGTCACTGCTTCTATATCTTGTGCGACCCAAAGGTTAAAGATCATTCTGCATGCAAGAAAGAAACCTCCGACTAACTGTCACAGTTGGAGATTTTAACCACACCCCCATCTGTATCAGGCCTGTTGGTATGTCCCCAATGTATCTGTTACTTAGCAACACAGCTCTTAATTTAGAACTTTCTTAAATCCACATAATAGGTCAAGCTAATTTTCAGTGGGGAGAAAAGATGTGATCAGAGCACTAGTATCATCAGGTTGTAATAAATATACTTTTCTCTTGTGAACTGAATCATTAAAACATGCCTTGCATTGAGTAGATGCCCAGCCTTGAGCTATAGGTTACTACCCAGCAACCAATTCATCTCTGTTCTACATTGCGGCAGCAAAAAAAAAAAAAAAACTAAGCCTATAGAAGTCATATTGTGTTCTGAATGTCTTAGTAATCAAATTTTGTTAACAGAGTTTATCGTGCTGTTTAAAAAAAGCCAAAACTGTTAATACTGATTACAGCCAACATATTTTAATGTTCCCACCCCCAACATGATCAACGTCTGTGGCATACTGCGTTTATTGCTTTGTTGCCAGTAATACGTGGGAGTGAGAAAAGCTTTTCTCCTGTGCGCTCAAGCTTTGTGTCGCTGTCACTGTAGATTAAACACACACAATGCATGTTGGTTTCTCAGCTGCTGCAATCAACATAGATACTGAGGGGGAAAACACTTCTGGGTCATTCCGTGTCAACTCAACCAAAGATCCCCGGCTCAAGAAAGGCAGGCAAACATTAATAGTGATGAATGCCAAAATATGAAATGTCATGGATGTATATTTACTGAGTAATTCACTGTTTTTTGAGCCATTAGACGTGTTCCATGCAATTGTGCTGATAGAAAACAAGACAGGCTACATTTCTAGTTTAAAGATTATTTGTTCTTCAGATATTCCTTTTTAAAGAAAAAAATGATTGCTGTATGCAAAGTCACCCATATTTGGTTTTTGACCACTGAAAATGTGTACAATTTACCAATTTACTCAGAGGGCTGCTAACCTTTGAGGTTGACTTGGAATAAGAATTATAGGGGGGGATTTGATTCATAAGCTTGCAATATCAATTAATTTGACTACCAATCAGGTAGCTTAGGGCCTACATATTAAGGCAACAAATCTCTATCAACTGATGCTGTAAACATACATACCTGTCAGTTGATATTATTTAATATTAAAATTAACAACTCATTCCTACAAAATTAATATAATGCAGTTTTATAAGAATGCTACAATATTTTTTGTAACACTTTAATTTAGGACTAGTTACTTATTAGCATGCATATTATTAGGAAATTGGCTGTTTATTAGTACTAATAAAGCATACAATTACACTTTATTCTGCATGACCATATTCTACATCCCTTAATCCTACCCTAATCTAACTTAACAACTATTAATAAGCAGTAATTAGTACATTTATTGAGGAATAGTTAAAAGTCATGGAGAATTGGACCCTAATTTAAAGTGTGACCATATTTTTTTAAATTATAGGAGTAAACATATAATACACATAGTGCATATATTTAGCAAAATGCTCCTCTCATGAGTTCATTTTCCTAACATGCTATATAGTCATTGGCTTTACGAAAGCTTTCTGCTTTTGAAATGCTCATTAAACAATGACATGAGACATAATACATTTCATTAAGATGTACTGAATCTTTTAGCATAACTTCTTTTGTTCAGTCATGTTTATTTGGTGCTATAACTAGAAATAAACAGGAAGACAGATCTGTCCAGTTGGTTTTGTCACACTAAACGTAGAAATAAACATGTCAAATGTGCACTATAAACACGATATTTTAAAAGTAGGCTTTTATTAAGCTTAAAAAGGAGTGGAAAAATTACTCACCCTCTGCTTTTAACATTTAAGGTTCAAAAAATTCCCACTGGACACAATTGGATGATCATATTATAAGCAAATTTAATTGTTATTTAATAAACTTTATCAAGCCACAAATAATCTGTAATAATTCATCAAACAGGAAAGTACCATTTTAGCAGTCTAGTAACAGTTCACTGCTTAAAACATCTAAATGATCATAGTACTGATTTTCGTGCTGTGGCGGAGGAAGTTCACAGCTCACCCAACTTGTCACCACATCAATCAGGGAATAAATACAAAGCAAATTATTTCGTCTGTTGGCGCACTGGCTCGATGCTGGGGGGTCGATTTGTAAAGGGGTGCCACTGGCCCTGGATACTGGGACTGTCTGTGTGGAAAGGTTTTCGAATGCGGATGATGTCCAGTCCTGACTGGTTGGACATCTTGGTTATGAGTTCGGCAATCTGCTGCGATGTTTTGTTGGTGACCATCTCCTCCTTCACATTACCATTCACTGCATAGATCAAATAAAAACAGTGAGCACACTGGTATTTTATATATATTTGACAACTACAAATAGTATAAACATTTAGTCCTTACTGCAGGAAACAACAATATGGTGTACCTGTAAGCCAACAAAGCAGATTAAAACATTTTGATAAAATATCAGGAAAGGTCAGACTTACAATATTCAGCTACTATTTTAGGAATTCTGCAGGACTGAGGGGAGATGTAAATCACAGTTCCGGGGTTATTTTTGGCAAAGTCCACCACACCTTCCTCAATAAAATCTCTGGAGGAATATATTAGAATTAAATGATTTACAATAAGCGACAAAAATAATGCACAATGTAAAAGGATCTCACTGAAACGTGTTACTCAAATTAAATTACATCACAAATATTCGCAACAAGAACTGTACTACATACTACACTACACTACAAAAAACTTTATACAAATTTAACAGTTAAATAATTAATAAATAAAATGTAATATATTAAAATAAATATTCATATTTTACCATAAAGCCTTAGACTATTTAAATTTTACTTCTTGAAAATGGTGATTATGTTTAATCTATTATGTTGTATTATCTCGGATAAACACACACACAAAATACAAATAATCATTCACTCTCCATACAGAGTGATCATTCTAAGGGTAGTTGATGTAGAATGTTATTATACATGATCAACACATTTGATGTAAACCCACCTGACTCCTAAAGAGCCCTGTCCTTTCTTTGAGAAGACCAGAGAGATTCGCTTTAGCTGACAAACATAGCGGCCCACTCCATTGTGAAGAACGCTCTGTAAAAAACGACTCGGTGTTCCTCGAGCAGTCATGTCCACCTCTTCAGAGATGCAACATTCAGTTCAACTTACTATTTGATTGTTGTCAGAATTGGTTAGAATAATATCTCGCACGTTGAATTAATAGATTTAGAGGACAACTGTCAGAAGACATGTGTAATGTCAGGTACGTTGCTAATTGTCGTCCGGGTGGAAATAGAAGCTGTGGATCAGAAGTGATCGAGATTCAGTTTTGTAACAAACAGAAAATTCCCAATAACTTTATTACAGCGAATTTGACAATGACCGTTTACTTATTTTTTAAATATATGTTTATTATGATTTAAAGCTACACAGTCTAATTCGCTTTGCCTTAACACACTACGACAAGATTTTCAAGTTTCACACGGAAGTATTTTTGATGTCGGACCTCGCGTTCAGTGGGACATGCATACACATGATGCAGATTGGCGCGCTTCTTACAGTTTAGTAAGTTTATGTCAAATCTTTACGGTATATGCGTTTCTTACACATATTTCCGGCCAAAGTTTCTCTTCACTTGCTTACTTTTATAGATACACGTACATAATAAATTGTTGAGTAATTGCGATATAGGTCATGCATACTGTAACGTTATACAGTTATTTTTGGTGACGCTTTATAATAGCTTTAATAAATCCGTTGCAAGCATTAGAATAGTTCACGTAATTACATTAATTAGAGTTTCATGACATTTGCAACAATTTCAATGCACATCCACTAATGATCTGTTATACATGAATGGATTAATGATTGTTAATGTTGTGATTGATATGTTATTGCTGTTATGGAGTAAAAAATCATGATCTCATCTAAATATCTTAATATACTGGAATTCAGAGTTTAAATAGTTTTTTTTTCAGAGTTTTTTTTTATTGTTCTGTTTCAGCCACATTTTTTAAACTCCATATTGTAATTGAGCAAATTGTCTATAATCAATGCAGGTCTGATGTTCTGAATTAACCGCAAATGTGGAGGAGCAGGTTTCTCAAGGGAGCAGGCTGTCTCTTGCAGGGGATGGGCTGTAGTCCCAGTAAACCCTCTCATCTTTCTCTCTGGAGATATCTATCTTTTTGCCAGCCCTGCCTCAATCCAGTCCTACAGCACTCTTTTAGGGTGCCAACCTTGTATTGTTTTAAAAACCGATTAAGACCCACTGTTGCCTTATATTTCTGCAGAACGTTAAGAAAAGATGCAAAGACTATAACCGATTTCTCTGCCCAGCCCCTCACAGTGACTGATATCAAACAGTATCTTCGCTCTAAAGATATCCCTTTCCATGATGGCTACAGCTGCTTACATGCTCCTAGTATTTTCCTGGAACCAGCCCCTGAGGGATCTGGAAGAGAAAACTACTCGCTGTTTATCGATAAAACCACTGGACAGTTTCTGTGTAAAGAGACTTTAGTGGAGGGGAGCTGGGAGGACCTCCAGGATTGCATTGAGGTGATGTTGAATGAGGGTCAGACGTCCATCAGCCCTAATGTGCTGCTGGGGTTTCCTGAGAGCTTGGAGGAGCAAGAAGAAACAGAGATGGAGATGAAGGAGGTGCAACGAATTTGGAGCAGCTCCGTGCCATTTTCCGACCTCCTGGAAGAGGAAGTGCAGCTTGTTAAAGCCATGTTCCAGATCAGTAAACTCACTAATGCCACACTGAAGAAATTTGGGGTCAGGTTCTTCAAACCCACTAAGAGTCTGGTGTTCCCCTGGTTTAGTGGACGTGACTCGAGCCTCCGGGGTGTTAAATTGCTTTCCGCTGCCGTGAAAGATGATGGACGGGTGGTCTACTCTGAAGCCACAGTACCAAAAGTCTACAGCTACCACAACCTCTTCGGCCTGCCTTTGATAGGACGGAAAGACGCTGAGGTTGTGCTCACGGGACGCGAGGTGGACAGCATGGCAGTGAGTCAGGCTACAGGTCTTCCGTCTTTGGCCTTGCCGCGGGGTGTAAGCTGTCTGCCCCCTATCCTCCTGCCTTATCTGGAGCAATTCAAGAAAGTCACACTGTGGCTTGGGGGAGATATGCGCTCCTGGGAAGCCTCAAAAATATTCTCCAGGAAACTTGGACTGAAACGCTGCTCTCTGATCCGGCCAGGGGAGTTTCAGCCGTGCCCCAGTGAGGCTTTGGCCCAGGGCAGGAACTTGGTGCGAATTGTCAAGGCTTCCATCCCTGCTGCCCACAAGTCCATTGTGTCCTTCAAACAACTACGAGAGGATGTGTACGGGGAACTGGCTAATGTGGAGCAAGTGGCTGGGATACAGTGGTCTCGATTCACTGAGCTTAATCGAATCCTCAAAGGTCATCGCAAGGGGGAGCTGACGGTTTTTACAGGTACAGTCAACACAGGATTGCACTCTAACCATTTTTCTTCAAAGGTTTTTATTATTTATTAAGTAATAAAAAATGTAAAGTAATATAAATTAATATATACATGTGTTAAATATAAAAATATGTGCATATAGAGGCAGAAATCAGCTCTTTTTAAAAAGAGATGGAAGAAATGGATACTCTATAAGACTCAAGTGTGAAAGGGATTCTTTGCAACATTACACCCTGCTGTTCTGTTTTCTTATGTCATGTTTGTTATGTTTGTTGTTACTTGAATAAATAAAGAGTTTAAAAAAAATGTGCATATAAATATTATATAAGCAATAAAAATTAGATTTAAAAAAATGTGTGTATATTTGTATATGTAGGTCCCACAGGCAGTGGAAAGACCACCTTCATCAGCGAGTGTGCCCTAGATCTGTGCATGCAGGGTGTCAACACATTATGGGGCAGCTTTGAAATCAACAATGTGCGCCTGGCCAAAATTATGCTGACCCAGTTTGCCAAGCAAAGGCTGGAGGAGAACCTGGACCAATATGACATGTGGGCCGATAGGTTTGAGGATCTGCCTCTCTTCTTTATGACATTCCATGGACAGCAGAACATCAAGTAAATCATTGCAATTCTTTTGTCAAAATGTAATACATGTATTGCAAGTCATATGGATTTGTAATGTAGGCTCTTACATAGATTTTTATATTTTAATTTTGCAGAGGACCAGCTTCTTCTCATAATATTTAAATATGAAATGCCATTTTTGTCCCTGTACAGGACTGTGTTGGATACCATGCAGCATGCCGTTTACCTGTATGACATCAGTCATGTGATCATTGACAACCTGCAATTTATGATGGGCCAAGAGAACCTGTCTCTGGACAAGTGAGGCAATCATTTTAATATGCTATTTATTCAGAGTTCCCATGGTCCTGAAAAATATAGAGGAATTTCAAAAGTGTGATTACCATGCTTGAAAAAAATCATGAAAATGAATGGAAATATTAAATAGTCATGGAAATTTTTAAGTGCTTGCTCACTGCTCAGTTATCAAGTGTTTCTTCAGCTTGAAACTTTTAATTCTGGGTCATACTACTCACCAATCCTTACCAATTAATCAAATAATTACAATTGTCGGATTACTAATGATCATTTTTTCTTACAAATGTTTTTTTTCTCAGATTTGCAGTACAAGACCACATAATTGGAGCATTCCGGAAGTTTGCCACAAACAGCTGCTGTCACGTGACTTTAATTATCCACCCTCGGAAAGAAGAGGATGATAAAGAACTGCAGACAGCATCCATCTTTGGCACAGCCAAGGTTAGTACATAAAGACCATCTCTGCTTGTTTATTTCTCTGCAACTTCAGTTGAGCTGTAAACTTGGTATCCAGATTTTAGATAGATAGATTTCTTTGTCATTGTACAATTTACATAAAATGCAATTTTACATGATTAGTTTCCATGTATAATACATTTTTATGTAGTAAGCTCACTTAAAGGGATAGTTCAGTCAAAATTGAAAACTAGCCCATGATTTAATATATATATATATATATATATATATATATATATAAAAATGATTGTATTCGTCCTTGATTGTATTGTATTCAATTGTATTGTACCTAGGATGACTTAGGATGAGCTAATTTTCATTTTTGGGTGAACTATTCCTTTAAGGACTTGTTTAGTAAAATTTTACCAAGAAATAAATGATTATTAACTTTTTTGCACTTTGAGATTTAAAACGCTAAAGAGACAACATAGCTTCTCCAGTTCCACGGTTTGGATAAATTATATTTAATGAAACAAAGTAATTACACAGACATTCACAATAGACCAAAAAACCCATCAATTCCTTAGATCAAATGAAATATACATTTTTGCATACAAAAAATAAAATAAATATAAACTAGAACCATCTTGTAAAATCTTAACTACTGTGTTTTTCTTTTTCTTTTCTATTTATTTTTTATGCAACCCTTGTATTTTTTACCATGAAGATAGCCTAAGAATCTGATATGGCATTAAAACTTATATTAATACAGTATAATAAAATCTACCAGGTCTAATGTATAGTTTTCCTCATATCAGGCCAGTCAGGAGGCAGATAACGTGCTCATCCTTCAGGAGAAGAAGTTGGTGACGTGTCCTGGCCGAAGGTCCCTTCAGGTGGTCAAGAACCGCTTTGATGGGGACGTGGGGATCTTTCCCTTAGAATTTAATAAAGCCTCACTTACCTTCTCTGCTCCTGTGAAAGGAAAGCAGAAACTTCGGAAGGTGACAGTGGACAAGAATAACGGCACAGAGGAAATAGAGGAGATTGAACTCAAAGAAACAAGTGAGAAACCTGTCAAGTCTGCAAAAGCCAAGACCTCAAAGACAAAGACAGTTAAGGGGTCAGCGGCAGGAAAGGGTTCCACAGATGGAGAACCAAAGAATCAGTAGCTCAGAGAATTCATCGATTGCAAGAAGTCAAGTAAAATGTGGAAGACATTAAAATGTAATGTTATGTTAACACACATTGTTTGTAGAGGTGGTTCTGGATGGATAGTTAGTATTTTTAGAGCCTCTTAAATATTATGAAATGTTTCATACATACAATGATTTTATATGCACCCAAATGAAACAAATTATTTTTGTTTAAAAATTGTTATTTGATGGTTTAAATGATACAAGACCATTATATGTATGTGATACAAGACCCGTAAAGCTGCATTTGTAGGGATCGGGCCATACATTTCATTAATGTTAATCCATTTTATGGATTATGTCCAAACATGTTATGTGATCTATTTCTGTTTCTACTGTTACGGTAGGAGAAAAATGTCACAAATAAG